CCGGTGTTAGATGCTGAATCCTGAATATAAGCCCCTCTTATCGCGGAAAAGCGTCTCAGCCGGAGCTGGTTCGTTCAAAAGCGGAAATATCAGAAGAAGACGACATAGTTTTTGCGATTATATTGATTATGATTATATTATACTGATAAAAAATAAAGCACCATGGTACGCATTGGTTAGCAGTATCCAACAAGCATAAGGCTTACTTTGATCCCCTCGGCTTGCCAAGACCACGTGTGATACCAAAAGATTACTCCTATCGTGAAGTTGAGATCCAGAATCCACGTTTTGGCCACTGTGGGCAATATTGCGTTCTATGGCTTTACTATCTACAGCAGGAAAGAGTAGATGATTTTTACCAGCTCTTCAAAGATCAGTCTGACAATGTTTAATAGTCACCTCTATATGGAACGGGCGTGCTAAGCTGCCAGAGGTCTAGCTGGGATGAACGCTTCGGATACATGCCGCGCTATATAACTAAAGCAGTGGACTACCTGCACACTGCAGGCTGTAGTTATCCCGCTCATATTTGAATAGGTAATGTTTTGCCGGGTAGATAGTCGCCGCTAGGACGTCCAAGCTTGTTAGGATGTAGCGGCAAGGCCATGGATTCGACAAAATTCTCATTATGTCTCGTTGTAATAATATTACTGAGACCGCGTCAAACAAAATGATACTTACGAACCATTTAGAGTTATCGAGATAATCGAGCTTAAAGTATGCTAATTGATTTTCGTACTTAACCAGAACTGTGACACTTGGCGTAAAATTCAATCGAAAAAACTGTAAAACTACCCTTATTCAATTGCTTTAAAAGGGTTTTTAAATAGCACTTATATTTTTAAAATTGAAAAAATATTAAGCTCACAACACACATCTAAATGTATCGTCATTTCGAGGGCCCACAAATGGAGATACTATTTTTGAGCGACCACAACTTCTTAAGTTTTAATCATTCTGTAGCTTATAAGGGCTCAAGAGATAGAGGAGACACCCCGCTTTCGTTTAGAGTGCTTAAATCGCGATTCGTACTTAGGTTCGTAAGTATCATTTTGTTTTGGGTGGTCTCGTTTACACATAGACACGCAATGGATGTCCAGTATATAGACGCACAAGAGCCACAGCCAATTCAAATCGACGATAATTACTACTCACTACCAACTCCCAAACCACAGTCAAAAGTAGCTGAGTGAAGAATTACTTTGGACGCCTATAATCGCATCCGCAAAAATACTTCTCCCGCCAAAGTGCGCTTGGTTGAAATAGCATCACTTGCGCAGTTGCGCGCTATGTATCAGAATAATTTTTTATGATGCCTTCCGGGGACAGCGTACCCTAAAGTCACATAAGCGAGTGGATCACATGACTTGTATTCATGTTACATGTGTGAGTATGTCCGTAAAAGCTTAGCCTCACACGAAACAATGACCGAGACAAGGTTTGGTTCATCTAATATCAATAGAAGATAGATTTTAGATGAAAGTGTGAGTAATAGCAAAATACGCACAAAGCTTTCACTCAGAGCATGTCAATAGCCTATATAGTATCTTTATATCATTAGTAAATATTTGTGAGTATGTGAGTATGTGAGTATTGGGATAAATTTACTAAATAAAAAATGGGGGTGGGAATTCATGATTAATTTTATTATATCAGATCATGAATAAATACATGGTAGTCTCACAAAGCAGAATCGCATGAATTCACGCTGGTTTCAGACTGCAGCAGAACCACATGAGTGCTTTTTTTTATTCAAGACTATCGATGACAAGATCCATGACGATGCGCAGATCGACACGAGCTGTTGAGCTCACGCCAGGTGGAAGAGCTGCATTCCGGGGGATCGATATATTCCGCCGCATGTCGAAGGTGACATTGACAGCAGCTCCAGCAGCTGCGTGTCGAAATGTTCCGCTCGCTGTTGGTCTGATGGTTGGGTGTGGTCGGGTCGTACTGTCATAGAGCGCATATCGAATCTGAGTACCAGGGGCACTGATTTTCAATAGCAGCAGATACTGGATCCCAGTATAACCGCACCACCATCTGGCAGCACCTTCCAGACTTGCCCAAGATTGAGATCTTCCAACCTCCACTGCCAGCGTCACCCAATCGGTAACGGTGCGAGGTGCCGGCGCCGGTGTTCGGTTGAGCGTAGATCTCTTTGGGCCAAATGTCGCATCAGCCTCCTTGTTCGGGTTGGCAGCTCTTCTCGCGGTCATCGAGCCGCGACTTGCAGCCTCGCGTCTATTTCCCGTTCCAGCCATGAACTCGTACTTGAACACATCCGCTGTGCTCTCATGTACCATCGTTGGAAGCTCGACAATCACTAGACGCCCATCATCAAGGGCGAGAAATCGAAGTGGAATCCGCAGTCCTTCGCCGTCTCCAACATACTCATTGAAAGCAGCAATGGAGACTCCCTCACACACGACGTACGGATCGATTTCATCGTCATCGTTGTCGAAATAACTCGCAACCGCATCAAGCTCCAGCGCATCGATGGCGACGCGAATATCATCGGCGGTCTTTGAAGTCGTCATGCTTGCGGCAGCTGATGTTGGCCGTACCACGTCGTGTATTGCACTGGAAGAAGAATCCCGTGCTCATTTTCTCTTTCTCGAAATGGGAAGAGGGGGACGGAAAAACCGGTTTCCATCGTCCGCTCGTCCGCTCACTGTCCGCTCAAGCTATGCATAAAAAGGCATCTAAAGCAGCGAGCGATGATGTACGTCCTGTACGTCGGAACAGAGGGTAAAAGTTTGGGTTGCGGTAACGCCATTCACCCTTTTTTTTACAAATCTTCTCATTATTAATTGTGGTAAATACCCTGACTCGGCTGTACCTTCACAACGGCGAAGCAGACGCCGTGAGGGCGATGCTGGTGGCAGCTCGTTGTGGTCACCTCGCCGTTGTGAAGTGGCTCTACCGCAACGATTCACAGCTCGCATCCGATGACCGCGCTTACAATCTCAAAGCTGCGGTACAATATGCTGCCAGTCAGGGCCACTGCGGCGTGGCTTCTAAAAACACAGACCAAAACCGCACCAACATAAAACGCAGGCGCGGTGACATTAACGCAGGACACAGCAAGCGCGTCCAATGAAGTGACCAGGTTGCGTGATGCGCAAAGTATAAGGCGAGGTTACGCCCGTTTCCCAGTGTGAGTACCGAAAATAAAAATGCTTAAGGGATAAGACCTCTTTGGATAGCTGCAAGCACCGCACTTAAAGTATCCTTTGCGTGAAGTGCTGTATTAATACTTAAAGAACAGAAGCAGTGCGCGGCCGTTTGCGCGTATTCCTTCGATGTCCGAGTGCGAGGCTGCAGCCGCCGCTATTGAAGCCGCTGGAGAGGCCCCGGTGCTTAAGACTCTTTTAGACGTGCGCGTGTTGTCACTGCGAGCTGTGATCCCCAACTACCGAGCGCAAACAACGCTCTGGGATCAAGTTCTAGCGTTCTCCAGAGCTCACGGCCTCGAGATCGCTGGACCGTGCTTCATAATCTACTACGACCAAGGCTACAAGGAGAAAGATGTCGACGCAGAAGTGTGTCTACCAATCGGTAAGGACGTCCAGGTGGACGGAACGGCAGCCTCTACGTCGCTCATCTCGGTTCGCACGCTCCCAGCAGTGCCACGAGCGGCTTCGCTTGTCATCTG